GTAAAGAATTGCTCTGCCTGGAGCTGTCCTTGAGCTCTGAGTTGGCGCTTGGGGTGAGAGAGAGGGACATTCGAGGCTTCGACTCCTTTATCGGCATTGTCATTCTTTTAAACGGGATGACCATTGGCTACCCGGCAGGGCAGGACACAGGGAAAAAGAAAGGCAGGAGGTGTTTCAACGCGGCTTGTCGTGCTATGTTGCGAAGTAGCCATGCCTAGCTACGTATGGCTGTAAGGCAGCGAGCGTGCAGTGGAATGACGTGTGTTCTCTCATTTGACAGTTGGGGCTTCTGGCAAGCGGGAGGCCATCCGCCCTGACCCCTTTTTGGGAGCCTCCTGAAGCCTCCGTAGGACCTAGGTGGGCCTTTTCAGCCGGTAGCAAAGACGTGGCCTCACACATACACGGACGCCCTTCTTTGGAAGTCGATGCCATCAAACCTCACTAACGTGCCCCCCGCCCAAAACACCCCTCTCCTGTTCATTGACTTGGAGTGTTGAAGCCGCACTAGATGGAGCGGTTGGGGACCCAAGCTGAGCGTGGGAAACTGGAGGGCCAAGGTTGAGGGTTGGCGCATGCGCCACACCAGGCACAACCGCCTCCACAAAACCATGGTACGGCTCGCGCGGCTCACCAAGGTTTCGACACCCAGGCGAAAGCAGCGCTACCAATTGGCTGCGATGAGAATTGCAACAACTGCCCTCACCCCGGCACCGCATCTCGGTCTTAGTCCAGGCTGATCAGATTTCCATTTGCATGCTCAAACTCTGGAACTCCCTTTCAGACCTGGCCAAGGTTTGCAACGTAACAGCGCCGTGGGTTGGTTATCTTGAAGCTCGGCCCATGCAGCACGGAGTCTGCCCATCTGTTTAAGCAGGAGGCAGGCCTTTGCTACGCCATCCCGAGCACTCGAGGATCTGGTTTGCTACGGCATTTACATTGCAGAGCTGGTCCTGCGTTTTGTTGCATTCGGCCCCCGTGCCTTGGAGTTCAGACAATGCATGGGCCGTGGGGAGGCCGTGTGCATGTATTTTTTGAATGCTGTGATACAGCTTCTTGTTTGCGAGTGACTTGGATCATCAGCACCTTTTACTGCTGAACTTCTGAACCGTTTTGGAGGTTCGGCTGTATCTTCGTAGCCTTCACGCATCAAGCCTGATACTCTTGCTCGGGATTTGCTTTGGATTGAAATCACGCAAGCTCCCCGTGTGGGAGCTTCGGTTTAGTACCTCACACAGTGAGCCTGGGATCAGGGGGGGTGCCAACTGCTGTTTCCGGGCTGCCCTGGACCATGCAGCGGGATCTGGGGGGGATCTGTGGGGGTCTTGGGGGGATTGGAGATTTTTTTTTAAGGAGGGGTTTCTGTAGGAGGGTTGCAGTTCCTTTGATGGGCAGTGAGGGCTGGGCTGCGTGCTCTTCTAGTTCTATACGGTCTGTCTCTTCACGTCCTGTCTCGCCACTCCTGTCCATTATTGAACTTTCGTCCCAGCTCGTGGCTCCTCAAGTCCTCATGCAGGCATGAGCTACACCAGCGTGCCCTTGCAGATGGCACAATGCATGAATTGAAGCACAGCCATCAAGCAGGTACTCAGGCTTCGACTGGGCTAGCCGCACTTGGGAATCTGAACGGTAGTTTTCGAGGCCTGCTCGTGGACCTGTGGAAGCGAATCTCGAAATCTACCTGAACAAGTTTTGCGGAAGGTAGTCGCGGGAGGCGCAGGTAGCAGAGAGTAGGAACTCTACTGGCGGAAGCCGCTAAGCCGAAGACCTTCGCAGAGATTTGTTCATGACATGTCTAGAAAATCCCATGGCACAAAACTTCTGTGCTTGCTTCCCGCCATCTAAGATGAACGCATTGTTTTCTTGAGTTCCTCTCTGATACACGGAGCTCCTTGTTCCATACGTTTTCCGTGTTGCAAGCAGGTTTTGTTCTACTTAAGCTTCCATTCGTGCTTGAGTGTCTGATCAAGTCATCTCCCATGCCAAGATTCGTTGGAAGGGATTGGTGCTCAATGTCTGGTTGCCTTTACTCCTCTGCGACGAGCTTCCATCTACCTTTGGGTTTCCAGCACTTTCTTTGCTTTTATTTTTGTTCCGGCCGGCATTGGTTATGTGTGAAACATTAGTCAGTCAGTTTGGATCAGCCTCCCATGCGTACCTGCTTCTGGCCGGAGAAACTCAGACTCGACAGCAGAACTGCTTTCAGCTGCACGAATCAAAAGGGGAGAGTCGTTGATAGGTTTTGCTTTCCTTAGTAAAGAAGATGCAGCATAGGAGTCGTAGGATGAGATTCGCTAAAAGCCGAGCCTCAGCCCAAAGCAGCCTTGTCCGAGCTGAAGCTTCGATATTTTCAGGTTCCTTCTCTTTCAGTCCTGAGGTGCCGTCAAAAGTCACTGGGTGAAGTTCGACATGTTTCTGGTGGGAACAGCCACAGTGGACTTGATTCTCAAGATGCTTCCTCGATGCAGAATAGTGTAAAAGGCCGGAGACTGTGTGGGTACCTACAGGATCCTATTGGTTCCTTACCCTCACCACTTGTGTTGGCAGTTTCTAGTCGGGCTCTTCATCTGGTAGCGGGTGTTGCTTTTTGTCACGTTTCGCTGCTTGCCTCTCAGAAGGTTGGGCAAAGATTTGTCCAGGATAATCTGCTGATCAAATCTGACAAACGTAAAGATGACAAGCCCGAGCTGTTACTCGGATATCATGCGGATGATGCGTTGTTCTTCGCCCAGGACAGCTTTGGACGCAGAGTTTTTGAAGCAGGTCATGTTGCTCGACCTTTGCATGAAGCCTTGTGCATGTGGCACTGATTGGGATGTTTATAGGTCTGCGGGCTTGCCTGTATGGATGGTAGGCAGGCGATTGTCTGTACGTGCATATGTTGTTTTCCTGGGCTTCTTGGAAAACCAAACCGGCCTGTCCAATCATGGTGGTAAGCAGCCTGACAGCAAGCAGCTCAGCATGAGGTTGGTTCGACTGCTACGTTTGGCACGTCTCGCACGCTGCTCCGCACAATTTGGGATGTTCCGTTGCGTAATCCCTGTTTCCTGAGAAGAAATGGGTCCCAGTGCGTAGAACAAACATTCCCTCGGATCAATGGTGCCGGAAACCAACTTCAAACATCGTTTGACCCATCCTCTGCTATAGGACACGCTGTAGGACATGGCAGTCCCAAACAATCGAAGTGGACGCTAATTAAACGATACCACCGCCTGGCTCCGCACTCAAGGTCTTGTGCGGCTGGTGGTCCAGTTCCAGACTCTTTGGAAGCTGGTTTCGGGCCTTATGTCTTGTGCCTGGCACCCAGCCCGTTCTCGTAGTGTGGTCTCAGGTCGTGATCCTAGGACATGGCCTGAGTCTCGAAAAGAACAAGGGATGGGGATCGCTGCAGGAATTTCTGCTGGCTTTTGAGCTCTGGCACGATCATTAAACCTGCATTGGGCTGCAAGCCTAGCCCCCTTGCTAAGGCCAACACACTCTTCTGGACCTTCCTGCTGATTAGCTGCTCCGCTGCATAACTTGACTCTTTCACGCTAAGGTCAACGAGGCATGTGAGCTTCAAAGTCTGATGACTCTGTTGATGGAATTCTGGATTCTTGCAGCTTGAAGCAGGGATTTGAGCTCTCTGAGTTTGTCATCTCCAGGTGTGCCAAGCAAATCTGACTAGCCTTTTGCTTGCACTGTCGTCGAGCCATTGAGTCCCCTGATCCAGGGTGTTCCTGCCAGAAGCTTCCTGTGAAGGCAGATCCTATCAATCAGATCAGTGTCCCTTCTATCGCAAGGCATCCTGTCGTACATCGCAGCATTGTTTGGGCTGGGACCTCAGTCGTGAACAGACCCATGCAGAGCTTTCAGGATAGGAGGCACAAAGCCGCGCCTTGTGACAAAATGTTGTTCTTTATTCTTCTTGCAGTTCGAGCACAGCAAGCGTTATTGATGCCACAGCATCAGGATGGATTTGATCACGTACGAGCTGACTCTGCCAGCAGATCATCCCTACAATATCGCGGCCAGGAGCTCAGATTTTGTGCTTCTGGGACTCAGAGTGAGAGAGGACAGTACGTTGGTTTGTGCCATGCCATACCCACTTTCCTGCAATTCATCTCTGCAACTCCCTTTGCCAACACATGGCCTCCTTCACTCTCAAATTTTCGAGTTTGTTTGCAGGCGCCTTTGGAGAAGGGCCACCGGACAGATGTAGTCGTCAGTTTTGTCATGTTTCGTTCTCTTTTGTCATGATTCATCAGTGCTCAGACGGAGAGCTGCAGCCTGGGTTCAGCGTTCTGGTGCAGCGCTAATGGCATGCTAGTAAAATAGGTGTGCAGCTTCCGCGTTTTTTCTGGTTTCTCTTTTGAAGCCTGCAAGAAGCCGCACTCTGCTTTTAGAAAAGGAGGCGTCGTGCACCTGAATCCGAATCGTAGTGGCTTCCAGCTCTGACAGCTGAACGATGCACATGTAGAGATGTTGCTGCTGGACTGCTGCGTCACCAAGTGAAGCTTCATGCTTCAGCAAAGGGTACATGAATGTTGGCTAAGTCTAGTGCCGGGGATGGGTTGAGAGATGAGCTCCTGCTTGTGACTACCTGGACCCTTGAATACAGTCGTGAGAGGCCCTGGAGAATTTTGGCGCGTTGGACGACGCCATGTTCACTCTCATGCAGCTTTTCACTTTCGACAGCGACTTGCGTTTGCATGGGCATGCTTTTGTTCAGAGCGCTTCAGCATAATAGCTGAGCTCAAAGATAGTCGTATGTTGGGTGCATCAGGTTATAGACAAACATGCCAAGATGATTCACAACATCGGACACTTGTAACCTCTGAGGTGCGCATGGCAGATTTTCACCCTGTCATACCTGGCTCTGCATAGAGTAGAAGAAGCGGACGAGCGTAAGACTCAAGATTCTGAATGATTTTTTGGCAGTACCATTGCAGCACCAGAGATAGTAAATCCGTCAGGTGCTACTGGTTCATGACATTGATGCAGGTTGGTTTTCTCAGCACCAGGCATAGCCTCCATCTACCGGCCGTTGATCCAGCAGAAGCCGCTCCTCTTCTTCTACTTCATGACGGTTGCTAGCCTCAACAGCCAGCAGCGTCAACGAAGTAGAGCAGCAGTCGACAGCAGCAAGACAAGCAGCCTGGTGCGCAGGAGATCACATCTGATCTCCCCAGGCTCCCAGACATTATACGCTCTCCGGTCTTGGCCGCTGATTTTGTAAGCAGTCGCTGCATCTTCTTTGAAGCAAATCTGAATCATTCATTGCGCTTGCTTTACGAGCTTGAAAGCCGCGCAGCGCTTCCCAAATGAGTAGAGTTGGTACTGGAAGGCCCAGATGTGGAAGCAAACCCCATTTGCCCCGTAGAGTAACGGCTGCGGGCTTAGGTTTTGCTGGTCCTGTCAATTGCCTTGATGAACCTCGTGACAGCGATCATGGTGACTTGACATGACTTGCCACGCAGGTCAGCCATCGACAAAATTCATGAAGTGTAGAGCTATATCCAACGACTTACATTTTCATTTGCAAAGGATTCGGAAGGTTGATTGGTCCTGCATGTAGCAAAGGGCATGAACCTACTAGGCAGGCGGTTTGCGGTCGCAACACTCATAACACAGCTCACGCAAGTTGGATGGTGTGTACTGCAAGCAGGCCGTGGTGCCTTTGAACTGGCTAGTCCGTGAGGGGCAGAGAGATGGAGGAACACATGGCTTGTCTTGACATTTGGGACTCATGTAAGGCCTTGCGTGGGAGACTGGCCACAGGGTCAGGGAACATTGGTCAGTAGGCCCCCAAGACGAGCAGCGGGTGGGGTAGCCTTTGTCTAGAGACCAAAGTGGTGAGTTAAGCAACTAATTTTAATCTAGAAGGCCTGACACAGCAAATGGCACGCAGGGTCAGCAGTGCGCCCGCAGGTGCAAGGCATCCCAGGATAGCTTGCAGTTCACAGGTTCGAGAAGGTGTAAACTTGTGCAAAGCGCCCAAATGCGCAAGCGATTCAAGTACATGGTATTCGCAGGTGCATTCGCAAGAAAAGTGCCGTACTCGCAGGAGCGTGTGCAAGCGTTTACCAGGTACAAAGCATCCCAAGGGCGAAGGCGCAAAGCAAGCCTCGAGTGCGTGTGCAAGCGGGCGGGCAGGCGCAAAGGTGACCAGCGGGTTCTGGGCGTGCCCAGAGATCAAAAACGGCCTTGAGGGGCATTTCGCCATCCTCTATAGGCCCCCCTTACAAAACTCCACTAGGGATTGAGTGCTAAGGTTGCTGCGAGTTAATTGTTTCAGCAAAGACTAGCCCACAACTGCTTCACGGACCCCGCCCCACAAAAGGATCAACAGCAGAGGTTCTCGCGAGTCCGGAATCTAAAGGCCGTGCAAAAATCCAAGGTGGAAGGAGCACTGGCCATTGCTGAAGAAGACAAGGAAGTTCGCAAGACCTATGAGCAGGCCTCGGGACTGGTGTGCACAACAACAGCTCCAGCTTCATGTAGCTGGCTGCGTTCCGCGCATGACGAATCTGGAGCCATGACTAGTGTAAAGCTTTTTGTCGGGTTGTAGCAAGCTGGAAGCTGCAGATATCAGATCAGAGGTGGCGCGTAACGGATCGTAACGGTGTCGGGTAATGGATCAGCCAACTGGATCAGCTTGAGAGACGTAGCGGATCAGTATCCTAGCACCGAACAGGATCAGGCCGAAACACGAAATGGCTCAGGATGTTGGATCAGCTCGACCATCACTGTATCTCAGCTTCCAGCGGTCATTCAGATCTTTTGACCGCTTTCGGTGGATTCTGGGGACGCTCCACGCGGGAGTGCAGATCGGAGGACGCTCCACACGTGGGAGTGCCGTCAGGCGATCGGATTCTAATGACGCTCCACGCGGGCGCGCCGTCGAAGGGCCAGATTCTCAGGAAGTGCCGTCTGGAGGTGGGACTCTGAGGACCTTCCATGCGAACGACGGATTCTGAGATCGCGGGTAGGCTTCATACGGCTTAGGGCTTAGGATGGCCGAGGGGTTTGACCTTCGGGGGTCTTTTGGGTTTAGCTTGGAAGTCGTTAAGGTTGAGGGTTTTGAGGACCTGTGGGAAACATGAGCGGTTTAGGGTTTTGGGGGTCTTTCGGGCTCAGGGTCTAGGAGTCTCTAGGGGTGTTTAAATTTGTTAAGGTTCAGGGTTTTTGGGGTCAGGGTTTTGGCTTTTGGATTTTGAGGGCTTCGGGCTTTGTAGGGCTTAGGCATTTTTAGGGTTTAGGGTCTTTAGGGGCTTTGAGTTGTCAAAGCTATGGCTATTAGGGTCTGGAGTTGTTTGGGTTTGGGGTTTTACGGGTATTTTTTTAGGGTGCGGGCTCTTTGGGTTTAGGGCGTGTAAGATTTTCAGGGTGTAGTGCTTTAGGGCTGCGTGTTTTTGGGGTTTACCGTTTTAAAAGCCTTTAGGGTCTAGGGTTTCTAGGACTTTTGGGTTTTGAGGAGTTTCAAGGCTTAGGTTTTCACGTTTTAGGATTTGTAGGATCTGGGACTGTTAGGGTCTAGGGTTTTAGAGCATTTGTAGAATTTAGGGTGTTTTAGCGTTTGGGTCTTCAGGGTTCAGGGCATTGGGGTTAAGGGTTTTCAGGCTTCAGGGAGTTTGGGGTTCAGGTGTTCACGGGCGGTTGGGGTTCAAGGTTTTTAGGGTTCAGA